ACAACATCTTTGTTTGTATGTGGTGCTGAGGATCGAACCTGGGCCGAATGCATGCCAGGCGAGCATGCCACCACTTGAGCCACATCCCCAGCCCTAAACTTTTTTTTAAAAGAATAAATGTACTTTTTTTTAAAGTTGTCAATAGACTTTATTTATTTATATGCAGTGCTGAGAATTGAACACAGTGCCTCACATTATGAACCCAGTTTCATAAACTTGGGCTTGGGTTGTGGCTCAGAGGAAGAGTGCTCGCCTAGCATGTGTAAGGTATTGGGTTCGATCCTCAGCACCACATAAAAATAAAATAAAGGTACTCTGTCCACCTACAACTAAAAAAAAAATGTTTAAAAAAAGTTTCATAAACTTTAACGTGGACCCTAATCATCTGGGGACCTTGCTAACATATACACTTTGAATCTGGGATAGGGCCTGAGAATCTATGTTTCTAAAAAGTTATTATTATTTGGTGCATGACTATACATAATATATGTATAGTCATGCACCAAATAATATATGGTGTTGGGGATTGAACCCAGGGCCCCAGCATGCTAGACACATACTCTACCATTGAGTATAGCCCCAGCAACTGAAAGATTTTTTTCCTTCTTTCCTTCCTGAGCCACATTCCCCAGCCTTTTAATTTTTTTTTTATTTTTGAGACAAGGTCTCACTAAGTTGCCTAGGGCTCTGCTAAATTGAGGAGGCTGGCCTCCTATCTCAGCCTCTTGAGTAGCTGGGATTAGAGGTGTGTGCCACCATGCCTGGCACAACTGAAAGATTTTTAAACAAGGCCAATGCTGCTGGTTCATGAATGTTCTTGAGTAGTAAGGCCTTAGAAAACTATCGTTTTTTAAAAAAAACATTTTTTTTTTTTTTTAGTTTTTGGTGGACACATCTTTATTTTATTTTTATGTGGTGCTGAGGATCAAACCCAGGGCCCCGCGCATGCCAGGTGAGCGCGCTACCGCTTGAGCCACATCCCCGGCCCCAGAAAACTATCTTAAGAACTTCTAATTCTCAGAACCACTTTTGCCTCTGGCTTTTTACTGTCTCCTTCTTAATCAAAGTTATATAGCATAAAATGCTCATCCCCAAAGAGATTAATGAAAAAAAAGTCACAGATTTTTGGAATGATGAAACAGGGACAGTCTAGGTGACCCATTGCTACAAGCTCTTAATTACAACATGTTTTGTTACTTAGCATTTCCCATTAGTTAGATTTGTTACTTACTTCATCAGGGAGTTCAAGGATAGTAATATTTTTTGAATGAAATGTGATTTCAAAAGTGATCACCAAGGTTGCATTTAATGGTTGCCTGTGGAGGACAAGAGTCTGATTATTGCTGAGAAATTGGACACTGTGAAATCTCAACCAACCCTCTGGAATTTGCACCAGGCCTTAATTTCTCAAGTAATCAGGAATAAGAAATGCTATGTGCTCAACCCTGAGGGGTAGAGAGGTGGAATCCCTGCTCCTTAGGTGTCTTCTATCTTTACCAGAAAATTAGATTTCCCTTCAGGGTAGGATGAGAATGTGAGAAGGTAGCAAACTGACTGTGAATGATTTGGGAGGCATCCAGAGATGGATAAGATAGAGGCTCCCTGTGGCAGTGGGAAAGGCTTCCCAGAGAGGGTCAGATCTGAGCAGGATTTGGTTACAAAGTCAGAATCTGACTGAAGGAAATGAGGGCCCTTGGGGAGCAGACCATAGGGACCTCAAATCTGGTTGTAGAGGCTTGGAGTTAATTGAGAGGCCAGCCATAAGCCACTCAGGGACTCTAGAGGGGGTAAGTTGGGGATAAAGGATGACTTGGGACATTTACAAGGTACGGACGTGCAGGAATGATAGGAATTGGAAATGAAATGGCAGGGGGCTGTAAGGGAAACTGGGAGCCACACCTCCCAGGAAAGGTAAAGAAAAAAGGACAGGGTTCCAGATCTTCAACTCAGGGCATCCTCACAGCTGGGGTGCATGAACAGGGTGAAGTAGCTAAGGGCACAAAGGGAGAGGTGGGCTCTCTGGCACAGTCTAGACTAGGTTAAGACCCCTATGCCTAAATTTGAAGGGGTCATCAAGTAAGATGACCAAGCATAAGCATTGCAGGAGTGGGATTATGCCATATGGTCATCAAAGGCCAAGCATAAGCATTGCAGGAGTGGGATTATGCCATATGGTCACTTCTGCTTTTGGAAGTAACCTCAGCAGGACCAATCAGTAGTTCAGCTTCTTGCCTCTTGACCTTCAGGGATCTCCTCAAGTATTTAGTCTTGGAAAGGGTCTTGAAGTCTGGCATCGATTGCTCATTACTCTAGAACTCTCCACATGGGGAGAAAAGGCTTGTGTCTCTGGTAAGAAGCACCCCTTCTTCTTCCTCCTAGTGGAAGGATTCAATTTGGGGGTTCAACTGAGATCCTACTCTGCAGCCCAGGGTTAGTATGACTGTTATTTCTATGGCTTGTCCTCCAGCTAAGAGGCAAAAGCGTCACCTCTGAAATATGAATAGACTGAACCACCAGTCAGCCCTGACCTAACTGTAGGGCCCATCCAAGTGGGGCTGAGGACAAAAATGGGCCTGACAACTTACCCCAGGGTGATGCTGACGTTGGTTGAACTGCCATTTTCCAGTTTCACAACAGGAGGCACGGTGAAGCTGACAGTTGATTCTGGAAGGACCCAAGTCAATGATGAGTCATCAGATCAGAGTGTTCAGGCCCATGAGAAGAAATAGGCATAAGGGCCCCTGACATCCTACTTTCTAAGTGAAGAGAGGGAGGTACTGGTGGCTCCATGAGGGGACTGGATACATGGGCCTCATATGCTCCTTCCACATCTGTTGCCAGAGACAGAGACAGAAGGTGCCATAGGCCAGAGCAGGAAACGCTGGAGCTTTCTCCCCAATTCCCTCTTCTGACAGGCTCTGAGGGCCTGAGGCTTAGTTACCTGGAGACAATTTACAAGCACGGAGCTCCAAAATTACCACAAAGGAATTCATGCCACCATTTGGGATTATAAATGGTGAATAGGAACCACCTCTTCAGATGGATAACACAGGGGTCTCTTCTTTATAAGGTTATATAATCCTGAAGAACTGGTCCAGCCCCTCTCTGCAGTCAAGACATGCATGGGTCCCAGCTAACATGGTTTTAAAGAACCCTTTTACAATCTCTTACTGCCTCAGCTTAACCCATGCATGGATCCCCCTCCTGAAGCTGGCGATAAGGTAGTGACTAGAGAATAGTTAAAAATACACATTTTTCATCAAAAGGATTTCTTCTTGGCATTAAGATGTTAACTCAAGATAAGGTAGACAAATAGGTGCTTCCAGGATGAGAGAGGAAGCCCGTTTGGGTGTTAGAAAATCACCTTGGGAAACTGGGTGTATAGTTAAATGGTAGAGCATGTGATTAGCATGCAGGAGACCCTGGGTTTAATCCCCAATACCAAACATCAACAAGAACCAAAAAAAATCACCTTGGGAGGTCAACTACCCCAGGGTACCCTGGTCTCAGAACATGACCAAACTTGCCTCTTCAAGCTCTTCTTGCGTTCTTCGGGCAGCCCACCTCCTCATCCCTGCCCTTACCTCCACTCCAGGTGTGCTTAAAACATTATGCCATAACCTCCCCATCTCACCTTTCCTGTCTCACAGACCTTAGGGTTATGCAGTCCAGAGGTCATGATTATGAATCTAAATTGGGATGGGAATGGCACTCAAATGGGAGACTCTAATGAAGATGGTTCTTGTAGGGGTAGAGCCTGCAAGCAGGGCCCAGGTCTCCTCTACCCAGACTCCTTAAAGGCAGATAATGAAGAACTGAGAACTAAAATTTAATTCAGCTTCCTTTGTTGATTCTCCTTCTTCAATACTCCTACCTGGTAGTTCTTCTTCCCCTGCCTGGACACCTACAGGGAGAGTCATCTCATCTTCTCCAAGGTGCTCAGGCAACCTGAAACTCACATTTCTGGGTCCAGTTCTGCTACCTGGAGCCTCTCTGACCACATTTGAGATGACTTCTCCCTCTTAGCCCTTCATCTAGGAATGTGGATGAAGGCTGCTTCCAGTCTGAAAGTCCCCCAGCTGAGATGCCCACTGTCTGTGATCTACAGTATCCTCTTGCCTGGCTCCCTCAAGTCCTTGTAGAGGCCAAGCTGCTCATAGTATGTTGGTCCCCCTCTCTCTCTATTTTGGGTACTGGGGATTGAACTCATAGGCACTTAACAACTGAGTCACATCCCCACCCTATTTTGTATTTTATTTAGAGACAGGGTTTCATTGAGTTGCTTAGTGCCTTGCTTTTGCTGAGGCTGGCTTTGAACTCACGATCCTCCTGCCTCAGCCTCCTGATCCACTGGGATTACAGATGTGCGCCACCATGCCTGGAGATCCCTCTCTTAACTGTAGCCTCAGAACCTGGAGGCAATTTGGTGACTCTGTCCCACATTTTGTTTTCATTCTCACTGCTCTGATATAATTTCAATTTAGTATATGTGCTGCAGAAGGGAGCACCACTGCTCTGATACCTGAGGCTTTGTTCTGGTCTTGCAAACAAGGATGGTGCAGTTCATTTTACCCAGAACTGAGGACCACACCAGATAAGCAAGTCCCAGAATAGGCCACTGCTCAGGACAGAGGTACTAAAAGTGACATCAGGCAGCTAGCCATACCTCTAGGTACCTAGGGTTCTTTTGGAACAGTGGTCAGAGTGAGTGGGAGATCCACATGGCCTTAGATCTTCCACAGACTTTGCATGTAAAAGGAAGAAGTTATGAACTCTCAAGGAACCAGATCCAAGAATGTTTATGTCCCCCTCACTCAGCACCACAAAAGAGAGCAGTATTTAGTACTCTGAAATCACACAGTTCTACCTGGCTCTGACTCTTCCTAGCTATATAATCATGGGTAAAGTACTGAACCTCTCTGAGTCTCCATTTCCTCATCTGTAAAATGGGGGAAAATAGCAAGACCTATCTTAAAGGATCACTGTGAAAATAAAAGGTAGAAATGTTTGTAACATGCTTTCCACTTGACCTGCATATGAAATAATTATTGGTTACTATCATTATCATCATTTTGAAACTACAGGACATTTTAGCCCAAGATAGAAGGCAGCCAGGAAGCTGGTACCATAACCTGGAAAAGTACATCTAAAAGTTTGCTCTGGAGTGGGAGCCTCKAGACACCATATCATAATTACCAAAGGAGTCACAGTGAATCCACCTCAGTTTTCCCTAAACAGGCTCTGTTTTTTTTTTTTTTAAACTAATACTTAATGGGACCTTTCCTGCTCTTCATCTAATTTCATGCCAGCCACTCCACTATATTCTTAASTCCCATTTTGTAATTATTACAAGGAGCAGGCATTTAATATAATTAATTTATATATTTATTTTTGGTACTAGGGATTTAATCCAGGGGCACTTTCACTGAGTTACACTCTCAGCCCTTTTATTTTGAGATAGGGTCTCATTAAGTTGCTGAGGGCCTTCCTCACTAAGTTGCTGAGGCTGGCCTCCAACTTGGTATCCTTCTGTCTCAGGCACCCAAGTTGTTGGGATTATAGACATGAGTCATGATGCCCGGCTCATTTATTTTTTGATGTGGAAAAGGGAATTACTTCTGTGTTGATTTTGTCATGTTGGGGATTGAACATACTAGGTGCATACTAGGCAAGCATTCTACCAGAATGCTATATTGCCAGTCAGGGGTAGGCATTTTTTCAGTCCTCCTTTAGATGTGASAAAGCTGAAAATTCTCAGAGGAAAGGTGTCTTGCCCATATAGTTTAAAAATGGTGGGGGCAGGAGTCAAACCTGGAATGGTCTGATCCAAAGCTCAGGTTCTTGCTGCTAGGCTGCACTGCCTTAGATTCCACCCAAAGAAGTCAGAGATAAATACTCTGGAGGCCACTCCTCTCATCTATAGTCCTAAGATCACTCCTCAAAGCACAGAAGAAGGGTACAGCAGAATCAGCTAGAAATCTAGCTCCAGGTGCTTGATTTTATGGTAACTCACACTATTCTTTCATAATGACATTCAGGAAAGGAGGCAAAGTGATATAATGGAGTAGAGATCCTAGCAAAGTCTTAGCTTTGATTCATTCTAGCTCTGAATTCTACTCTGTCTTGGCCTAAGTTTCCCCTCTATATAACTGGAGTAGTGGAAGCTTAATTTTCTCTTCTTTCTTAGCTAAGGGAATTTATTAGCATTACTAAAAGGAGGTTCAATGTGCATGCACACATGCACTCACACTCTAACCTTAATTCCAGAGAGCCATTCTATCAATATGGCTGGTGTGAGGCTCTGGCATCCCTACTGAGAAACAATGGACCTCATGATCAGAGGGACCTTGCCCTTTTCACAAACAAATTATCAACAAGATGTGACTACAAAGTAACATGACCAATATTTAACAAAGCTGATCAGATGACCACTGTTTCCTCAGAGATTAAAAGGCTAGATAACTTTAATGGTACAACCATTATGCATAGCTCTTAGAAAATACATGCAGGGTTGGCATGGTTTGTACCAATTCACTTGAAATCTTCAGTCAAGGATTTTTTTCTTTTTTCACAGTGCTGGGAATTAAACCCAAAGTCTTGTGCATATTAGGCAAGCACTCTACCACTGAACTACATCCTCAGCCCCCTTAGTCAGGAATTTCAAGATGCATCTGCATTTATTTATTTATTTATGTGTGTGGTGCTGAGGATCAAACTCAGTGCCTCACACATGCTAGGCAAGTGCTCTGSCACTGAGCTACAACCTCAGCCCCAAGATGCATTTGCTTTTTAACAACAGCCAAGTTAATGATCAAAATAATGGGACTGGCACCTGTGGAGTGCTAAACAGAGCTTTTTTTTTTTTTTTTTAAAGAGAGAGAGAGAGAGAGAGAATTTTAATATTTATTTTTTAGTTCTCGGCGGACACAACATCTTTGTTCGTATGTGGTGCTGAGGATCGAACCCGGGCCGCACGCATGCCAGGCGACTGCGCTACCACTTGAGCCACATCCCCAGCCCCTAAACAGAGCTTTTCATTGGATGGAATTTCAGAAATGCTTTGCATAGTGGGAGAACAGCTAGAATTGACACAGCACTTGAAGGTCCCTCCTACAAAGACATGCAAACCCTGATACCAGCTGCTTCTCTGTGGTCCCCCTATCCCTGTTAGCTGCTATTCCCTGGTCCTCTGATCCTCTCTAAGGGAAAGGTTTTAGTTTATTACAAGGTAATGTCAGGAAGACTCCTCAGGTGTCTGTATCTGGAAGAATCAAGTACAATAAGGTGGCCATGTCATTTGGCTCCCCAGTGTCTCCCAGAACACCTGACTCTCTTGGTGAGGTCCATGGGGTATAAACCTAAGTCATTATTCACAGATATTATCTCAGCTTGTTGGAACTCCACAGTTTGACTTTGAGAACCACTTGTACAATCTGACTTTAAGAACCAACTGTTGACTTTAGTGATGTGGAAAAGGGAACAGGGACCTGAGGGAAGAAGGACAATTATTTGTGGACACATCTGGCTCTTTGTGAAACTCCTGGGCCCCAGAGCAGACCACGTGGCCGAAGGGCAGGCAGATATACATGGCCTGGACAATAGTAGACCTTCAGTGACAAAGAGGACAGGTTACTCACTGTTTGTTTCTCTTTTTTAAAAGTTGATGACTCATTTTTAAACTTACCACATTTCTCTACAAGCTTCAGGGGGAAAAGGATAAAAATAAGCAGCCAATTCCTTATCATGTTCCTTGATTTTGCAGAACTAGGAAGAAAAAACAAACAGTAAGAGAACATCATGTTAAGTATGAATCAGCTCAGCTTTAGGAGGATGATATGCTCCTGGAATCATGGCATGGAATGGCCCATAAAGGACTTTCACTTCACATTTCTGACTTCATGGGTTTTGCACCACAACCTCAGAGAAGGGGATCCTTCTTTCTATGAAGAAAGAGGAGGACTTATCTTTCTTTGATATATGGGGAAACCAGCTCAGAACAGCTTAGAGGGTTATGTAAAGTCCCACCCTGAGGAAGTGAACACAGACTTGAATTTTTCCCTCTTCAACTGCTTTTTGCAACCTAGTTATCAGAAAGAAAGAATTCAGTTTTATTGTCTTATTAGAGTTTTTTCTCCCCCCGCCCCTCCAAAAAAACAAAACAAAAGAAAACAAAACAGTTTCTTCCTCATTTCACAGACTGTCTTGAACACTTGGTCAGCAAAAGTCCTTCATCCCCAAAGGCTGACACTCAGCAGGAAGGATTCCAGGAAAGATAAAAAGACATTGATAGATAAATTGATTAAAATGCTTAAAAGTCAGATTGATAATCTAACTATCTAATCTCACTATCACATAGGATTTAAATGATATGAGATGTAAAGCATGCATTCTCGATGGGGGCTACAATTGGTTTCTGGGGATGTTGAAAAAAAACAACCCTAAGTTCTTGCAATGCTTTTTGGTCCTCCCAAGTGCCATAATATATAAACAAGTACAGTTTATCAGCACAATTAAAAATCTGAAGGTGGGAGTGGGTTGACAAGGGTAAACAGATTGAGAAACAATGATGTAAAGCAATTACTACTGTTCCCTAGGGCACCTAGCAAGCTCTCACAAGGGTTCAGCTGTCCTCCCTTCCTTCAGTTTGAGAACCCCAGAGGGCAGGGTCGGGATTTCCTCCTGCTGACTGCCCCGGAGCCTAGCACTGGGCAAATTAACAGGAATTCCTGGAACGGTCACCTCAGCGTCTGCCGTCTTCAAGCGATCTGCACACCCAGATTCAAGCGGCAGCGAAGCAGGAGGCGGGGAAGGGGACTGAAGCACTCTAAGGTAGAGTCATCCACACACCATCCYGACAGCCCAGTGTCCCAGGTTCCGCTCACCACCACCCGAGTTCTCCCATCAACGTCAGGTCTGTCCGGTGTCACCAAGCCAGGACTGGTGACAGGAGATGGAACCCAGGCGCGGCTAGGGGGCTGGATCCACGGCAGGCTGTCCAGCTGACGTGCTGTGCCAGTCTCTAGGCCTTAGGGGGTCCGCCTGGGAAATGGGAGGCTGTCCAGGTCCTGCCGACTCTCACCTCATAGAGAGGTTCCTAGGCTCCGGGGACCGATCTCACCGTTCGCAGCAACCTCGCGCCAGGTGCCGCTTGGGAATGTACCCGATTCCCCGGGCCGCTCAGACTTTGTGTGAGGGCGGGCCCAGCTGTCACCTGACTTGAGCCACCTGACTTATGGAGGCCAGATCTCCGCGCAAGGCCCTCTGGAAGTTGTAGTTTTTACGTCTCAGCAGGCCAGAGCTGGGCAGGGTTAAGGGGAGAGCGAAAGGCCTTGGCAGAGATGGGGGCTCCCGTGTGAAGGAAAGTCAAGCCATTCCTCTCGGAGCCTGCATGGTTTACAGGTGAAATCTGTGCTGCTTCAGGGAGAGAAGCTGGATCAACGATCCAGTCCCCGAACCTTTGCCCTAAGGGGCGGAACCCTCTGGGTCCCGTCTGGAGGGCGTGAGAGTCCGCCTTCCTCGGCCAATGGGAAGAGAAGAGGCCGCCATGTTGAGTGTGGCTGAAAGACTGGCAGGCGAAGCCCCGCCCCGGCTCCTCCCTCCAGGGTGAAGAGTGAGCCTGGGTTAAGAAACTGGAGCCGCCTGGTTACCGCCGCTATGGCCTCTGGGTTGGTTACTCTCGGCATCGACCTGGGCACCACGTCCGTGAAGGTGGCCCTGTTGGAGGCCGCGCCGGGCCACCCGTCCGGGTTCGTGGTACTGGCGAGCTGCGCGCGGGCTTCGCGGGCGGAGGCCGAGAGCGAGGCGGCCGGGCCCCAGGTGAGGCAGCGCCTTGGAGCCGCCGCCTCCGAGAGGCTCCTGACACCCAACTTCTTCTGGAAGGCCTTCCTGGAAGCCCCCTCCCTCAGAGAAGTCTCCCTGACCTCTCCAGCCTTGTTGACATCCGCCTGACTTATCTGGGCCTCGCTGTCTGCAGCAGCTCTGCAGTCCCGTCCCAGGAGCTTTCCCACCTGTTGGCAACTATCTCCCCACTCTCTGGCATTCTCTGGGGGCCCTGCTTATGGCGCTGGATCCCTGTGCTTTCTGTCCTCCACTTTCTGACCTGCGAGGAGTCGCTTTCCTGTGTATATGGAATACCCACGGGCCTCCCAGTTTCTCTGGCTGCTGTCTGCTCCTCACCTCTGCCCGGTGCCCTCAAGGTCAGGAATCAGTTTATTGCCTAGGGCAGAGTCTAGGTTGTCCTTTGGAAATCAGACCTACATTTGTAAAAGCAAATTTGAATTTAAATACTCAAAAACACTTGGCCAGCAATAGTCTCCCAGCTCCCAAAGACTGAGACACCTGGAGAAAAGAATTCAGAGCAATTAGACACTGAAAGACGAGTCCATTAAAATGTTTGTTTTAAAAGGATTAGCTTGATACCTATAAACTACAGCTAATGGCTTGTGGGAGTTACTAGGTAGAAACAGGATAATGGGCTCTGTTGGGATATATAGGTGGGTTAAGAAACTGGATCAGTCAGTCCTTAGAACTGGATCCTGTTCAAACTGGCCACAGTGGCACTTGCTTGTAATCCTCAGGGGGCCAGCCTCAGAAACTTGGCCAGACCCTGTTTAAAAATAAAAATAAAAATAAAAAAAGGCTTGGGGGTGATGTTCAGTGGTAGAGCACTTGCCTAGCAGGCATAAGGCCCTGAGTTCAATCCCCAGCACTATAAAAACAAACAACAACAAACACCCACAAATAGATAATATCCCTCACCCCCCAAAAACCCAAAACAAACCAAATTGGATCTTGTCCATTTCCTGAAAAAGTTAGCTTTATGTTCAGTCAATTGACAGTAGAAATTACTATCAAGGAACTTTTCTGTCTAACCTCTGACTTTTTCCCCATGCCTCAGCTTGTTCTCTGAATTGAAATAAGTGGCCTCTTAGTGCCTTCCAGCCAGAAACCTCAATTTTCTGAGCCAAGCCCCATCCCCAAGAGCTTTGTTTTTCATAAGCTATTGCTTGCCGCATTTCAGAGGGTAAAGGATTTCAGGAGCACTTTGTGTTTTTATAGAGGCTTTCAAAACTAGCTTGGTTGGGGTTGCAGAGTGTTTTAGAAAGTTGGCTCTGATCCTGTGGGAGTGGACAGTGAAGTTGGGATTACAGGAAAGGGGTTCAGGGGTGCCATTTCCTCTTGAAATAGGGCCACTTGTTGAAAACGTTTCCCTTTTCCCACAGCATTCAGCAGGCTGTTCTCTGCTTACAGGCAAACCCAGCATGTTGTACCTGCTCAGTGAGGCACTTGGGGGAGGGGTCCGTAGTAGCACCCTCCATACATCTTCCACATATGAGCTGTGCTCTGGGAAAAACTGCATTGCTGGGATTTTGTCTACAGCAGGTTTTTCAATCGCGGCATGTGRACATTTTGGACTGAATAATTCTTTGAGAACAGTCCTATGCACTTAGAATGTTTAGTAGCATTCTGGCCTCAACTCATCAGTAGCACTTCCCCACTCCCATTGCGACAACCAAAAATGTCTTCTCATTGCCAGTTGTCCCCAGGGAACCAAATCACCCCTGAGTGAGAACCACCAATTTATAGCAACATATGATGGCTGTGTTATTTTTTTGTGTGGGTACATTTTTCTTTCAGTACTGGGAATTTAAACCAGGGGTGGCCTACCACTGAGCTATACACCCATCCCCTTTTTTTGGGTACCAGGGATTGAACTCAGAGGCACTTGACCACTGAGCCACATCCCTAACCCTGTTTTGTATTTTATTAGAGACAGGGTCTCACTGAATTGCTAAATTGCTAATTGCTAAATTGCACAGGCTGGTTTTGAACTTGGGGTCCTCCTGCTTCCACCTCCCAAGCCGCTTCCAGGTGTGTGCCACCACACCCGGCCCTACCCCCATCCCTTTTTATTTTTTATTTTGAGACAGGGCCTTGCTGGGTTGCCCAGGCTGACCTCAAACTTGCAATCCTGCCTCATCCTCCAGAGTTGCTAGGATTGCAGGCACGTGCCACTGCCTGGCATGTCTGTACTTTTTACTCATCACTAAGTACTGTGTATAACAAGGTCAAACTTGGCAGCTATGTGGTGAAGATCAGAATTTTAGGTATTAGCAATTTAAAACACAAGTATTATTATTATTATTATTATTACTTGAAATTGAACCTAGGGGTCTCTACCACTGAAATACATCCTCTATCCTGGGATAATGTACCATCTGATGGCCATGTGGGGACTCTTTAAAGGAAAATAGATGAAATTAATTTTAATTACATGATTACAATCCCTTTTATTTTTCATTTTGAGATAGTTGCTAAGTTGCTGAGAGTCTCCATAAATTGTTGAGGCTGGCCTTGAACTTGTGATCCTCCTTCCTTAGCCTTCCTAGTGGCTAAGATCACAGGTGTGTGTCACCACACCCAGTCAAAATACAGAGATTCTGGGCTGGGGCTGTAGCTCAGTGGCAGAGCACTTGCCTAGCATGTGTGAGGCAATGGGTTCAATCCTCAGCACCACATAAAAATAAACAAATAAGATAAAGGCATTCTGTCCATCTACAACTATAAAAAATTTTTAAAAATTTATTTATTTTTCCTCTGGACTTCAGACTCTTCAGCTGTCAAAAGGGGTGTGTGTGGCTGAATAAGTTTCTAAGTCCTAGCATTTATCTGGGCATGGTGGCTCATGTCTAATCCCAGCCACAAAAAGAAAAACAAAACAAAACAAAACAAAAATTAAAAGGGCTGAGGGTGTAGCTCAGTGTTAGAGTGTCCTTGGATTAGATTAAATTCCCAGTATAGAAAAAAAAAAGTTTTAGGATTTAATGTGGATGTGGACAGATTGATATTCTGAACCAAGAAATGGGGGCAAAGGCTTTTCCATTATACTTTGGGTGTGTCCATTGTCTATCCAAGGGCTACCCCCTGAGCACAATCACCACTAAAACTGGAACTGCAGAACACTGTCTCCTTGTGTTGATCCCATCCAGCCTGTTTCCCTCCTCCACTGTTTCCACCCTCACAACTCACCCACCCTGGACCCATTTTAAACAGTGGCTCCTCTATCTTGGGATGATGTACCATCTGATGGCCATGTGGGGACTCTTTAAACCAGCACTGCCTAATAGAAATGTGAGTCACAAATGTTAGCCATGTTGGGTAATTTTCAGTTCTTGAGTAGTCTGGTTAAAAGAGAGAAAAAGAAAACCCATGAAATTAATTTTAATTACATATTTTATGTAACTAATGTGTGTAATATATTTGACGTGTAATAATCAATAGAAATTTATTAATGAGATATCATGCATTCTTTTTTTTTTTTTTAAAGAGAGAGTGAGAGAGGAGAGAGAGAGAGAGAGAGAATTTTTTAATATTTATTTTTTAGTTCTCGGCGGACACACATCTTTGTTGGTATGTGGTGCTGAGGATCCAACCCAGGCTGCACGCATGCCAGGCGAGCGCGCTACCGCTTGAGCCACATCCCCAGCCCATCATGCATTCTTTTCTTCACGATGACTCTGCAATTTAGTGTGTATTTTATTTTTTATTTATTTTTTTTAGTGTGTATTTTATACCTATAACAGATCTCAATTCAGACAAACCACATGTGGCTAATGGCTGCCCTCTTGAACAGTGTAGGACTAAACAAATTGTCTCTTTCCTGCTCCTTCCTCCCTCTTCCCCCTTGCCCTTTTGCTTCCTCATTGGGGATCATGCAGAGCCATGGTCCTCCTCTGTGTCCCTCTGTCTTTCACTTCTCTGCCAGTTTGCCTGTTGTCCCTTCTGTATACAAAGGATCCTTGTTAGGCTCTGGGGCTGTGCCTCAGGAAAATGCTTTGTGTTCCCTCTCTACTCCTTCCCCCATCCTACTCCTCCTTGACTTCCTTCTTTGTTCGTTGTTCATCTTTATTAGGGGCCAAAAACTGCCCCTGACCAAGGTCAGCAGGTTTGTTCCAAGGAGGGGAAGGCTGCACTCCCTGGAGGGACCTGAGGGGCTTAAGGTCTTTGGATGCTTTTCCAAAACCATAAACTTTTTCAGCTGCCCAAAGAACTGACATTTATTGAAAGCTGAGCCACATTTCTCTTCCCTTTCTCTGAACTTTCCATGGATCCTTCCAGTTGTTAAATATAAGTTAATTTTGTGACTTGAGGTAATTTTTGTGTGCCAGAAACAGTTTATTTTTAGTGA